ATAGATTTCATAAGACTCATTGATACGTTAATTACTCCAGTTTAATTTTATTCATATACATATATATACTGTACTGTACATACAACATACATACATACTGTATATATATTACAGTATATATAATGTCAATTAAATTTAAATACAGTATAATTTTTTTCACTTAAAAGTTAGGTGAATGAATGATAATCGTCTAAATATTATAATTGTTCTACTCAGGTGAAAATCTCGGAGTGGTCGTCATTAATCCGTTGACAGTGAGACCGGAACAGAGAAGCTCTCCCAGTTTGGCATTCGTCGCTCCCTCCGACAAATTCTGGAGCAAAGACGATGTCTTGGTGAGCACCCCAAAAAGAAATTATACCGTCGACGACTATCGTCAGTTTTTTGAAGACATCAATTACACGACGGGATGGGAAATGTGGAAGGATGTCCGTGGACTCATTCACAACATGACTCCTCCAGGAGTCGAGATACATTGTTTACACGGAGCAAACGTCAGCACAATTGAAAGGTAATCTTTTATTATTATTAGTATTATTAGATTATTTGTTAAGTTGGGAGAAATATATAAGGTAATTCATGGTCTTAAAAATTCACTCAATATAAAGACAGCACTATCAGAAACTTGGTGATGTCCATTATCTTATTTATGTGAGCAACAATCCTTTTGTCTTTACTCTTGCCCAAAATTGGGAGAGATACTTGCATGTACATTNTGCATTGTTTCAATTGAAATCACTTTTCTGTTGTTTTAGAAACCTTGATTTGCACAACACTTGAATAAATGTAAATACCCTGCACTGTGTTGATGTACCTAATAAACAAGGAAGCAAGCCTAATCCAACGCTCTGTACTTCAGATATACTGATAATATATTCTAATAACACTAATATACTATAAAAATAACATATTGTCATTGGAAACGGCAAAAGAGTGGAAACATCATTCGCACTTGTTCGTAGAAAGTCCATTGGTTGCATCACGTAACTGCCGAACGGAAAGTCCGTTGTCCGCAACCAGTCCGTTGCTCGAGTGACGTAACGGCCAAACAGAAAGTCCGTTATTCGCAGCGTCCGTTATTCGAGGCGTACGTTATACGAGGCACCACTGTATATAGATAGATTAATAAATATTTATATAATTTTAATTTTTTTAATATGTCGTTTTAATATCAAAGTCAATAAAACCAATGTTTTAGATAATTGTAATCTTTTTTACTCAGTCTCATAATGTTATCGGTCAGTTATTATTATCAGTTTGTCAATTGCACAGTGATTACAATAAGAGATTATACCATGTTTATTATTAATTAAAATACCCACTCAATTATGCTTCCGTCAGCTTCTAAATCGCATATTGGATGTAAATCTGGCGTCATTTTTTCGATCCGGTTAAAGTAAATATCACTTTCACTAAATAAACCTGACAAGAAGTTGCATAAAATAATCAAGTTTTAAAATAAAAAAAAAGCATAGTGAATATAAAAATAATCATAGAAACTGCACTTATTTGAAAAAAATTTTAAATCTCAGTGAAACAATGAAGAAAAATTAACTTTGTAAAATCTGTTCTTATGAATGTATTTCAAAACTATCTACTTAGAAAATATAGTATTATTAATTATTCATGTTTAAACAACTATAAAATTATATAAAGTCATGAAACCACATTACTTAAAAAAATGTAGTCTTATAATTTTAATGCATTTTTACAACTAAATTATCTTCAAATTACAGAAATCTTATCATTTACCAGCTTCAGTTTATGAATACAGATATGAACTGAAATTGATTTAAGACAGACTGAAAACATTTTTTAGTAAATAAATAGTTGGGTTACCTAAAGAAGCAGTTTTACTTTATTTTATGATCAGTTATAACTACATTATACTCATTTATTCTTTTTTTTACAAATAATCCAAACATTATTCTAACAGATTTTAATATAGATTTAAAAGTACAGTAGACCCCCCTATAACACGGGTTCCTATAGTTCGGATTCCTATATCACAGCGAAAAAATTGTGACAGTATTCGTACAAACATGCTAAAAAAAACTCCTATAATTCAGTAAAACGTCATCGCAAACTCGTGTTGCAACAGGATTAGTCAAATCTAGACCAATAGTGAATATTGCACAAACTGCTGAGTTTAAACGAGCAGCGGACCTACTAAAAACCATTTATTATTTAATGTCTATAAAAATTATATTTATATTAATGATGTCTCCAAAATTCAGCGAATTTTTCGCAAAAAAAATAATTTATCAGGAAGCACGCGAGCACCATTCGATGACAATCTCCACGACAAAAACAAGCTTAAGCAATGGCGTAGTCGAACGGTGCACGCTCGGTAAGTAATCCTACAATTTTTTGTTTATAGCATAGTTTATATGGATTATTCCCAAAAAATTATACGTATTTTGGAAATGTTGAGTCGAATTAGTCTAGAATCGATTAATTTTATGGAAGAAACCTTTCAAACAGCCGTANTATTCTTTTACATGCTACATTTGTATTGAAATTACTTATGAATTTATTTGATTTTTTTTTATAGGTATTAATGTATTTGCTTTCCTTTGTTGGATTACTTATGTTCGTTTAAACATTGATAATCAGAGTGGTGTTAAACTCTATTTAGTGCTTGTTTTTTTACAATGTCTTCCATTAAAAATGATTCTATATCCATCATAAGATTGTCTTCATCTCTATGTTAGAACAAAATCAGATAGGCTGACCATAACATTTAAAATCCAACTAGAGAGACATTTCAGAATTGGGGAAAAGGAGGTCTAAAACTGATTTGAACTTTGGCTAATTTTTAAAAATTTCTTGATTTATTGGTGTATAAATTGGTGATTTTATATTTCTGTTTTTATATTGCTCTATTAATAAAACAGCTCTATTCAGGGATAGATTCTTGAATTGGTATACCCTAGAATCAAATACTAAAAATTGGGGATGTCTGCTCACCATAAATAAGATTAAAACATTAGCCTGACTGACCGAAAGCCTAATGATCATTCAGCATGGGTGAAAATGGCTGCATTTAGTAGAGTCAACAGTTGAAACTGATCAAATGTGTTTCAGTCGGTAGTTGTTACATAGTTATATCTACTGAACGATGAGTATGTCTTCAAGCAGGAAGCAACCATCATTGGTCAGTTGCAGCTAGCGATAGGTAGTGTAAATGAAAGATGCTACCAAATGTGACATCAAAACATCAAACGTGTTCTGAAACAGCACTACTGTAGAGGGCTTCAGTAGAGAAATACTCAACTGTTGAGTCTGCTGAATGCAGCCAATGTTTGCTTTTGTAGTTTCTTGCTGGATATTGGTTTTATGTGGAGTAATTATTTAAAACATTAGAGAGGTTGAGGTGCACGTTTTATACGTGTAAACGTGTACGTGTGACGTTCGGCGCCGCTTTCCCGTAAGCCTAAAAGTTTGACAATGGTGTTTGGATAGTCGGTGGAATCACGCTCGACATTCCAAACACCATCGTCAAACTTTTAGGCTTACGGGAAAGCGGCGCCGAACGTCACACGTACACGTTTACACGTATAAAACGTGCACCTCAACCTCTCTAATGTTTTAAATAATTACTCCACATAAAACCAATATCCAGCAAGAAACTACAAAAGCAAACATTGGCTGCATTCAGCAGACTCAACAGTTGAGTATTTCTCTACTGAAGCCCTCTACAGTAGTGCTGTTTCAGAACACGTTTGATGTTTTGATGTCACATTTGGTAGCATCTTTCATTTACACTACCTATCGCTAGCTGCAACTGACCAATGATGGTTGCTTCCTGCTTGAAGACATACTCATCGTTCAGTAGATATAACTATGTAACAACTACCGACTGAAACACATTTGATCAGTTTCAACTGTTGACTCTACTAAATGCAGCCATTTTCACCCATGCTGAATGATCATTAGGCTTTCGGTCAGTCAGGCTAATGTTTTAATCTTATTTATGGTGAGCAGACATCCCCAATTTTTAGTATTTGATTCTAGGGTATACCAATTCAAGAATCTATCCCTGAATAGAGCTGTTTTATTAATAGAGCAATATAAAAACAGAAATATAAAATCACCAATTTATACACCAATAAATCAAGAAATTTTTAAAAATTAGCCAAAGTTCAAATCAGTTTTAGACCTCCTTTTCCCCAATTCTGAAATGTGTCTCCGGTTGGATTTTAAATGTTATGGTCAGCCTATCTGATTTTGTTCTAACATAGAGATGAAGACAATCTTATGATGGATATAGAATCATTTTTAATGGAAGACATTGTAAAAAAACAAGCACTAAATAGAGTTTAACACCACTCTGATTATCAATGTTTAAACGAACATAAGTAATCCAACAAAGGAAAGCAAATACCTATAAAAAAAAATCTAATAAATTCATAAGTAATTTCAATACAAATGTAGCATGTAAAAGAATAATTTAATCAAGTAGACATATGTAAATTATTATTGAAATAAATTAACTGTTTGCTCATTCATTAAACAATTTTGGAGAATATTAAAAAGAGTTTTGTGTGATCAAATTTCATTTTCAATTTAAAAAGTTTGAAACTGAAATATCATTACGACGACATTACTGACAGAATTCATTATTAATTTTATAATAATAGATAATAAACAAGCGTGGAAAGTATTATTTGACATGAAACATATTTTGAAATCAAACATTGTCAGATATATCACCGAAGTTACAAAAATTAATTCCGACATATTTCATTGTTCACAAAACATATGTGCCTCTAAATACCTATTAATTTTAATGGATAAAATGAAATTGAAGAGATTAATTTTTAAAATGAAATATCCTGAAGAAATCTGTATTTTTCACTGTACGAAAGTTATTTTATTTGTTGGAAAAAAATATGAATTTCATTATTTCCATGTCAAAGGTCACTGTCGCGCCATCTTTAATTAAACGTATTTTAGAATATGTTTTTTCTTTGGTTTCGACTTATTTATTCACTTACCACGCTCGATGCGGCCATTTATATAACACTCAAAATAACTAACTTTTTCTTTAACAATCGGCTTACACGAGGCCACAGCTAACGGCGGTCGACTTTCTGCCTTTATATAGCAACTGTGGAAGAACGTCCTTCGCTTCACTTCGGTTGTTGACGTCATAAAAATTGTAAAGCGCTCCCTCGTGTAAAAGATTCTCGTAACTGATATTCATCAAATTTTTAAATTATACTATAATCTTATCGAAATAATCTAAAATCAATAAATTATAATGCTTATTTCTAAAAACTGGTTAATTGCATGCTTAATTTTTATTAAATGAGTTTCAAACTGGCAATTTGCCATGTTAATTAGCTGTTTTACACGTATAAATTAAATATTTATTATAATAATACCCGAACTCTTCAATAAAGATTGTGTTATATATTTCGACAATAAAATTTCATAATTATTGGGATACATAGGGACGGATATACATATATAGGGGCGGATCTACATAGGAACTAATAGGGCTCAAGCCCTGGGCCCTAAGTTTCAAGGGCCCACAAAAATTGAATTATTATTACAAGTTTTTAATACTTTTTCATTAACAATGAGCACTATCGTATAGTAAAAAATAGTTAATATTAATACTGTAATATAGTAATAATGAATTTTAAACCACCGTTTAAAGATTCTTAATCTAATAAAAAATGGGGCCCCATTGGACTTCAATAAGCCCTAAGCTCCGAAAAACCTAGATTTGCATCTGGGGATAGAGTAACTTATTTTTCATATATCAGTTTAAATATTTGATAATACTATGCATTATTTAGTATTTACATTTGCGATATATAATGGATTCATTGCAATTTGTTTTAAATTATTTATTTTAATCGTGTGTACAGTACCAGTAATCTGCCTAAAATTGTTTTGATTTGATTTAAATCAATTCGCTAATTCTTTTAAATTCACACTTTAATTATTATACGGTTATTATATTAAAATTCAAAAAAGTATGAAAACATATTTCATTGTTTGTTGGGAAATCAATATGTCGAACTTAATAAACTCAATTATAAAAGTTATTTATATACGTGATTTTAACTCTGTTTAAAAAAATAATAATTAATGTAAGGGTTAACTAAACTTTTGTCAAGCAAATTATCAGTTAATAAAAAATTTATTAATGTTTAATTAATGCATAGCAATTAATTTAAAACTGACCGGTAAATCTGCTTGACAAAAGTAAATTTAACAGAAAGTGATTTTTTTATACTATATATTTCTTTTAGATATATATAATTCTTGAATCTAAAATCTGATTTTTTTTTAATTCAGTCATCAATAAATTAATCCTCTATCATTTTTTATCATAACTTATCATCTTAATAAATCAAAATCGATACTATCATGAAACTCAAAACCTCCTGCAATATTATTCTTGCGATTAAATTATTGATCTATTACTTGAGAATTCAGCGTTTGAATTCGATCTGAATCCTATAAATTTTTAAAGACTAATTTCAATTCAAACATTGGTAAGAATTGGATATTGTTTTCCATTCTTCGCAATGCTGATCGAACCTGCTATGATAACATTGATGGCCTAAACGGTTAAAGCGTCAACCTACCGCTCTCGGAGACTCGGAATTGAATCCAAGTAAGTAATTCCCCAGAAAATTTTATGGAAGGTCAGTCCTGGATTGTTGGGTTCAATCTTTCATCATCTGTTCATCTCGATTGTAGGCCTGACCAAATCTATGTTCAGTATGAAAAAAATAAAAACCTTCTTATTGCTCACAAGTCAGATAATCCAAAAATAGAAAAAAACGTATGATTTTTCGTAATAACTGTAGTATTACGTAGACATGTAGTGTATAATGTATGAATGTTTCTCGTCGAAAACTTAATTCACAACATTGTTTTTCTATCTTACAATAATTAGTTTCAAAAAATTTGGGCAAGTTTAAAGCTAAATATTTATTATCTCTTTTGTAATCTTCCTTTTGTCAACATGGAGGGTCTACAAGTATTCCGAGAAACATCGAACAATAGAAAATACACAAGGACTGGTAAACATTAGTTCTAAATTATGCCGCTACGGCGAACAGCGCTAATAGCGGCAACTGATTTGTCTTTGTTTCAGTGCTTCGTTGTCTTTGTTGAAAATGGAATGCAGTATATGCAATTTAAAGTACAAGTATACGCAAATTTTAAGTAAATATGTGAAAGGAAAGCATTAAAAAAAGGACTTTAACAGGAATCATGAAGTTATAAAATTATTTAAATGTAATCTGTGTTCAGATGAATTTCATAAAAAGAAAAATGAAGTATTGTTACACTTCAGAGAGCTACATGATATTACTGTCCTATATTTTATTATAATCAGACATTTAATTCATTTAGTGATTTTAAGGAATGGAAATAGAAATAGACGTTTTTGAATGAGTGGTTCAGAAATGAACATTAAGCTTAATAGTTCTATATAATTAAAGTCGATAGATATTCACGTTTTTCATGAACTATAGAGGGCGCTGCATTTTTACAAAATGGCTACTTTATTTGAGTCGCTTTGCAACTAGTAATGTAAAATAAATCATATATTACTATCCGATATAATGATATATGCTGCATGTAGCTGTTTATCGAAAAATTTTATAGAAGGAGAACAATTATTGCTAGCTGGATACGTCATTATGTGGTATCGAAACAAATGAGCGATATTGTTCTATACATATTTGTGCCCTTTGTGTTAAAAAACATCTGTTTTGACATTGTCCTATCAGGGCCGGATTTGCACGTAAAAAGCTATGTAAATTGTTGCTTAGGGCCTCGAACATTTATACAAAAAAGAAAATTGAAGTCAAATTTTGTAATGAACATTTTTTACAAACCAACAAAATATACTTTACTTTTTATTTTGTGTAATGTTTCATTAATTCGTTAATTTTTTTTCTAAAAATTAACATAAGATCTTTTAAAAAAATTGATAAAACCAATTTTAAAAAAAATTTTAATGGAATGGGTATAAAAATTTAATTAAATTCAGTTATAAAACAGGAAGCTAGTGAAATCTCACATCTTTTTCTTCAAATATCCGTATTAAATCAGAGTCATAGTCTGATTTAATTCTTTTCTTTTTACGATTGACTTCTAAAATTGTGAAGGGTTGGTAAGGAGCCTTACAGAGTTCAACTTAGGGCTTCGAAATGCTTAAATTCGATCCTGTGTCACACACAAAATTACTGACATTTTAAACTTTAAGAGAATATGTTTTAAAATTGATAGCATAACTTGTTCATGTAAAGCTGGACAATCGGGAAACTGCCAATTCTTAACAGTCTAACCCACTCTTTCAGAATTCGGTGAAGCTCATAAATATAACCGACAGATTTCCGAATAATCATCTGTTTTTCATATGGGAATAGACGAAAACTTATGTTAGACTCCGTAAAGCTTTGAAATTGCAATTTGGAACGCAACAGAAAGCTTTGCTTTTTCTATTGCTATTCATCTTTACTGCTGATAATGCACAAGAACGATTCAAACGACTCAGAATAGTTTTGTTTTTAAACACCAGAGGGTGAGCATACGTTGAAAAATGCGAATACTGGTTCTTGCGCTATACTCTCAGGTACTGTACAGTTAATGCTTCAGATTCCAAAATATTTAAAAATGAACACAAATTGTAAGCAAACAACAAACAGTCTAATCAATTTAAAGTTTAAAATCGTGAAAGTGACAGTTAATGAAAATGTAAATATTAACGACATTAATATTAACAATAAATAATGTTCAAAACCGGATTAAAATAGTATTTATAAGCAGTCTTTTAAAAAAGACAAAAGAAATATCTGAGTTAAAAACGAGAAAATTTCATATATTAAAAGAATTTCGAATGTTTACAGCTGACTCTCCCTATGCTCCAGCGAAACTTGGGACTACCCGCGGTTGAAGCATTCGAAGTTGCGGCGGACGTTTTCAACACGAAAACGTGTACGTCGGACGTTCAGCGCCGCCTTCTCGTAAGCCTAGAAGTTTGACAATGGCGTTTGGAACGTCAGTGGAATCATGCTCGACGTTCCAAACGCCATTGTCAAACTTCTAGGCTTACGGGAAGGCGGCGCTGAACGTCCGACGTACACGTTTTCGTGTTGAAAACGTCGGTCGCAACCTCTCTATTTATTAAACTAGAATAGTAGCATTACAGCTATTGGCAGCGAAGGATCAGTATATCTATCGACTCTAATATAATTGTCATTGATCATAAATTTTAAGTCTCCTATGTCTTATTTTATTCCTAATTCCATCTCATAATCTTACAATATTAATTTTTTATAGAATAATTAATTTTTAGACAAGGTGTCTGCCTATTCATAAATTTATTTTATTTTCACTTTTCGAACAAAGCATTTATAATTATAAATAGAAAACACAAGTATTGTACCGGTATATTTTAAATCACGCATACTACATTCCATTTTCTTACCCATTGTTTAACTCGTAATACGAGTTCAACAACGTTGACAGTAGATAAACAAATGATAAACCTTGTAACTATGACCCGTAACTGACAAATCCAGTTGGCGCTGTTCGCTGTAGCGGCATAATTTAGAACTAATGTTTACCCGAGAGCTAGCCTCTTGTGTAAACATATTAATTAAATACTACACAAAGTAAAAAGTGAAGTATATTTTGTTGGTTTGTAAAAAATATTACAAAATTTGACTTCAATTTCCTTTTTTGTAGAAATTTTTGAGTTTCTTGGAACTCGAGACCATAAGCAACAGCTTACAAGCTTATTTGTAAATACGGCCTTGATGGGACAGATGTCAAAGCTGATGTCTTTTAACACAAAGAGCACAGATATGTATAGAATGATCTCGCTCATTTGTTTCGATAATACCACATATAATGATGTGGTATTATCGAAACAAATGATGATAATTTAATGATGTGTTTCGCTAGCAATAATTGTTCTCCTGTAAAATTTATCGATAAACAGCTACAAGCAGCATATATATATCATTATATCGGACAGTAATATATGATTCATTTTACAAGCGATCCACATAAAGTAGCCATTTTGTAAAAAGTGCAGCGCCCTCTATAGTTCATGAAAAACGCGAAAAGCGGTAGGATAGTTTATACCATTATAAATGAATGTTATTTTTACTAACAAAAGTACA